TCAGTTGGCTCTTGAGCAGGGCCGACCGCCTCGCTCTGGGCGGAACCAAACTTGGTCCCCACTAGCACAGGTCACAGTTTGGGAACTCCTTACGTCTCCCCTCCATCACTCTGACCTGGAGTTCTCTCAGGGGGGTTCCCAACAGGGTCTATCCCATAACACCCTAGGGCGTCCCATCGCCACCCTCGCAACGGTGACCCTCCGGTTATTGAGGGCGCCTCCCCTCACTCTGGCTAGGTCTTCTCAGGGGAACTTCCATCCTCGCCTCTGCCCGGGCTCCTCGTACCGGGTCCCTAACAAGGTTTTGGCCGCTCTACCTAGTCTCCTTGCCCCACGGTCTCAGTAAGCATCCGTGGCATCCCCGGCAGGGCTACCTTTAGACAGCCCCGTCTCCTTCATCAGGCCCTCTCGTTGAGGCATTCCAACCTCCGAGGGGTTCTCCTGTTGGGCGTGCCCTCCAGCGGGTCATCAGGGTTCCAGGAGAGGCCCCATTCCAGACGGGAGCCCGCCCGCAGGACTAGCCAAGCTTTGGTATGTCCCAACCTGGACACTCGAGACAGCTCTATGGAAAAGGGGCGTTGGTTCTTACCTGATACGCTTCTTTTCGTAGAGCTGTTGAGAGTGTCCAGCCCCACCCGTAGGCCGTCTGGTGGGAAACCCTGCTGTTCGACCGAGCAAACTAATATTTTTTTCCTGAGTAAGATGAGAACAGGACCTTCCTTCTCGTCTTCGCAAAACTGGGGCGCGCCCGGAGGACCACGTGATGGTGAGAGGCGTGCCTCAATCTCAAGCTCAGCCTGTGAGAGCCGAGACTGGAGCTCCTCCCAACCTGGACACTCTCAACAGCTCTACGAAAAGAAGCGTATCAGGTAAGAACCAACGCCCCTTTTCTCTGTTCTCCCTCTCTCTAAGTATCATAAAACTGTGATACCTCTAATGGGAGTAAGGCTACAAATGTATATGTAGTTACTGTAGAATGAACTGATTGGCCACTTTAGAAACGTCTTCCAAATAAACATGCATAGGAAAATGCATGTTAATATTGTAAAAGAAAAAAGAAAAAGAAAAATAATGACTCCTATTTATAGTGTATCTGTTATGTGATGGGAGGTTAAATGTCGTGTCTCCTGGCATACAAATTAAGCAGAACTATCATTTCTTTTTCTACAATATACTTGACAATTTGAAAAACTCCCTGTGCTCTAGATTCCATGCTTACTAAATGACAAAGAAGGAATTTGCCTATTCTATTTTGCTTTAGTTTTTGTTAGAGGGTAGCCATCTATAGCTACACACATACAGCTATGTTAAAATGCTGGAATGTTTTACAGGTACTTCTATTATTTTCTATTAGGGCTTTCCCCCTAATTAAAAGTCATTTTCTTTAAAATACTGAGAATTCAGTACAGGCGTTTTTTGCATATAAAAACGAAAATTAATAGCTGTAGAGTTATATTTTGATTTATAGAAAGGCGAGAATCACCTTCATGTTTTAAAGCTCCAAATCTAAAGATTATGGTCAGTTTGAAGCAGTGGGGAGAAGTTATAGTCTCCCTGAGCTTTGGGTTTTTTTCCCCTTTCCTTTCCATTTAGGGCACTGTAAGACCTATTTATTTATTGCCATTCTATGCCACTATAATCAGAAATCTCTTTTGTGCTTTTCTCTGTATGTGTGTGTCTCTCTCTCATTACATTCCCACCCCCCATCCCCATCTATGAATTTTATCTTGTGATGATGGATATATATATATATGATGGATATAAATAATTATTCTGATAGCAAATTTACGGATCCTTCAAAATGAGGTTTGCATATATTATGGACTAAAGTATCAGAATGAAGGCAGTAAGTCTTGGAAAATATGAGGTTAAATTACCATTTAGGAAGCATAGTCATACAGTCAGCATGTAGTTAATGACCCTTATTTACTTAAAGATCCTACAAAGCACTTTGCAACTGCGAGGAATTGTATTGAGTAAGATAAAGAGGAAAAGAAGTAAATCTTTTTAAACACTGCCAGACAGGTGAAACGCCAAGCTATAAATTGCTTCAAACCTAAGTAAATCCTGTTACAAGCAGTCCTTTAGTTATGACCATATTTGAGCTTGCAATTTCTGTGATAGTCATAAAGCAGATCATCACGTGACCATATCTAATTGTACAACCTTTTTTTTTTACATTGTTCATTATATGACTGCAGCATCCAGGAAGCAAACACCATGCTTGTTAAGTGAATCTATTGCTCACTATGGGTGTCTTTTGCCAGAAACTGGAAGTATACACCAATTTCTGGGGGGGCGGGGTGTTGGGGGCAGAATAAATTGCATCACTGAAAACAGCCATAAATGTGGATCAGTTGCTAAGCACCCAGAATGCAGTTACATGACTCGGGGGGGAGGGAGGAGCAGGCATTGAAACTTAGAATCCAGGTTGTAAGTTCCCTTTTTGAGGTCCAAGGACTATCTGTATTCTCTTTGGCTTCGCTCTTCATTACTATTACTTATAAACCTATTTTGGGGCGTGTGTGTGTGTATTTGACAAAGGTTATTTTTGTTTAAAGGGATGAGAAAGAAAATAAATCCTATATTTCAGCTACCACTTTTAATATTACAAGCATGATTTGTAATATTTTTCTCCCCAATATCTATTAAATATATACTGGCTATTAACTCAACCTTTTCAAATTGGAAAAGGATACATGATCTCAAAATACATTTAATTTCCATTTTGAAGGCTGACAGTTTAAAATTACAGGAAGTCCTTGATTTACAACAGTTCATTTACCGTGTTTCTCATATAATAAGGCCGGGTCTTTTTTTGTTTGTTTTTGAGCCCCGAAAAAACGGCTAGGCCATCTTTCGGGGGTGACTTAATTTCCCCCCTCCTTGCATCCTTGAGCGGGCAGGCAGCGACAGCTTGGATGTTGACCTTGGTGTTGGTGGGGCACTTCATATCGGGAGACCTTCCACCACCGTTGCTTTCCCTTCTCCCCATGCTGCGGCGGCGTTTGGAGCACCGCTGCAGTGTTTGGCACAGCCGCACGGCATTTGGCGCAGCCATGCAGGTCCAGCCAGGGCTCCTCCCTGCAACCGGAGCCCGGCGGAGACACTCAGCTTCAGGCGCTCCTGTCGCCGCCTTCCCAGGCATCGTTCGAAGGCAAAGCCCATTCTTTTAAAAACAACACCCTACTACCTGTACGACAAAGCCTCCCCTGCCCGAGAGGGCAGCCCAACCCCACATGGGGAGGTGAATCTCCTGGGGCTGCAGCGCAGGATTGGCCCACCCCAGGAGAAGTGCCCAGCCGCCATCCCTGCCTGGTGCTGGGCAGAGCGCAAAAAGCTTCACCTGGGGTGCCCAGCGCAGCTGACAGGTGGGCCCTCCTGCCCCGTGATGGAGCTCTGGCCAAGGCAGTGAGCACCTCCTGCTGGGCCCTTCGCTCATCCCACCAGGGCCATGCCGGAGTCAGGCGGCTTTGGGCTCTCTCCGCCGGACTTGCTGGCCAGGGAAGCAGAGCTGTCGTTGCCTCGCCTCCCTGTCTGTGGACAAGTGGGTGCTATCACTGCCTCGGGCAGCCTCTCCTGGTGGCCCCTTCAGGGTTGGGCTGGAGGGACTTGGGAAGCCAAGCTCGGATCAGCCCGGCTCTTTCACTTGGCAGGCGGGCGCACACCCGCGGCTCGCTTTCCCGGCTCTGCCCAGCCTGCCCGGCTCTGGTGTGGCCCTGGCAGGATGAGTGGAAGGCCCAGCAGGGAGGTGCTCGCTGCCTTGGCCAGAGCTCCACCGCCGGGCAGGAGGGCCCGCCTGTCAGCTGCGCTGGGCACCCCAGGCTCTTTGCACTCTGCCCGGCGCCAGGCAGGGATGGCGGCTGGGCACTTCTCCTGGGGTGGGCTGATCCTGCGCTGCAGCCCCGGGAGATTCACCTCTCTATGTGGGGTTAGGCTGCCCTCTCGGGCAAGGGAGGCTTTGTCGTACAGGTAGTAGGGTGTCGTTTTTAAAAGAATGGGCTTTGCCTTCGGATGATGCCCAGGAAGGTGGCGACAGGAGCACCTGAAGCCGAGTGTCTCCACCGGACTCCGGTTGCAGGGAGGAGCCCTGGCTGGCCATGCGTGGCTGCGCCAAATGTCACGTGGCTGTGCCAAATGCCTCGACGTTGCTCCAAACGCCGTGGCAGCATGGGGCAAAGGGAAAGTAATGATGGCAGAAGGTGGCGATATGAAGTGCCCCACCAACACCGAGGTCAACGCAGGCAACACCGGGTGTGCAACAAAAGTACTTCCTAATGGCAAGCGCCCCACCATTCCCCCCTATTTCGCATGTTTTAATATAGGCCTTAATTTGTGGGGAAGGGCTTAATTTCATTTTATGCCTATAAAACATGCTGGGACTTCCTATTGGGGGAGGCCGTACTGTTGGAGAAACATGGTAGTGACCATTCAAAGTTACAAGTGGCACTGAAAAAAGTGATTTATGGCAGTTTTTCACACTCATGACCATTTTAGTATCCCCATGGTCACGTGATCAATATTCAGATGCTTGGCAACTGGTACGTATTTCTGACTGATACTGTGTCCCAGGTCATGTCATCCCCTTTTGCAAACTTCTGACCAGCAAAGTTAATCGAGAATCCAGATTCACTTAACAACCATGTTACTAATTTAACAAATGCAAAGATTCACTTTACAACTGTGGCAAAAAATTCATAAAATGGGGCAAACTCAGTTTACAAATGTTTCACTTAGCAACATAAATTTGGACTCAATTGTGGTCGTAACTTGAGGACTACCTCATGAATTTTCATTCCAGAGTACTAAGGGCAGTTCTTTAAAAACTTTGTTTCCAAGTATAAAGCAGCTGCCTAATCAGTATCCATTACTTTGGGAGAAAATTACTCTTAGGTTGACAGTTTCCATTCCTGTTAGAGTTTTTAAGGAGAGCAAATTTACACAATAAGTTAAAAAAAAAGTTAGCTTAATTGTTACTCCTTCTTCCTGTCTCTTTACAGCTCTTATACGATAGCCCAAAAGCACGACAGGAAGTGGATCATCACTGGCGAGCTTCGGGCTGTCCCCATATTGTCCATATCTTGGAAGTTTACGAGAATATACACCATGGGAAGAGATGCCTTCTAATCATCATGGAGTGGTAAGCATCAACCTCACTAGCTTTATATGTGGAATCATCTTCAAGACGATGATTAGATCTCAGTCATACAATCTCTTTAGTATTAAAAACAGTGGTGAGTTGTCCATAATTCCCAAGAGTATTCAAAGCCTTTTTGGTTTTTAAATTAGATTTCTGAAAATCTTGGGGAAGGAGTTGGGTTCCTACTGTACAGGTAGTCCTTGACTTACAACACTCAGAATAATTTTATTGTCACTTTGAATGTACATTAATCGGCATACATTAAAATGAAATTTCATTGTATATAGCTGTCAAAGGGCCACCACCTCCAATATACACTACCTAAACACAACTTAATAAATAAATAAATATAAAATTATGCATATTCCCACATATATTATATGACACAGAGAAACAACACACTTTAGTCCAGATGTATAAATGTACATGGCGAGACAAACAAATTTTGCGAGTTTGCCAGACGGATGGGATAGGGAACAGAACTGTTACAGAATCTGTCCTGGTAGAAATACTTCAAAATCTCCTTCCATTGCAACAGCACTGAAAAAGTGACTTATGATCGTTGCAGCATCCTCATGATCATGTGATTTACATTTAAAGGCTTGACATCTGCTTTATATTTATGACGGTTGCAGTGTCCCGGGATCTTGTGATCATTTTGCAAACTTCCAACAAACAAAGTCAATGGGTCACTTAACAACCGTGTTACTAATTTTACAACTGCAGTGATTCACTTAACAAATAAGGCAAGAAAAAGCTGTAAAATGGAGCAAAATTAACTTAACAAATTTCTCACTGAGCAACACAAATTCTGGGTTCAATTGTGGTCGTAAGTCAAGGACTACCTGTAAATGTTTTTTTTTCTTTTACCATTGTCTCTGTGAGTGACTACTGGGTCATTGGAAAGTAATCATCTAAATTGGTCCAAATAACTTAACTGCAATTAAATTCCACTCTTCCTATCCTAGGTGATAATGCTCTCTGTGATCAAAGCTAGTCTGTAGTTGGAGTGGCAGTAGAAACATCTATATGAAGAATTCCCTGTTTATTTTTCCATGGTTTAGCGATACTTATGTAGTAAAAGATGGAAAGGCATCAGAATTGCTTTGAGGGTTTATCAAGTTCATCATCCCATTTTCCTCAGTAGCCAGTTTTATGATTTGAAAGTAGGTCTTTACAAGAGGTGAGGATAATGACATCTTCTTGGAAGCTTCTGTATAGATAGCAATGCCATCTGATCTGTTTAAAGTATAATTAATGTATTTATTATCCTTAACTAATACTAGGATAGCTGATTAGGATTGTCTCCATGTAGAGAGAATGGGATGTGTTGCCCTGAGGAATAACACAGATGGCTGTAAGGCTTCTTTTAAAAAGAACAATTTTTTTAAAAAAGAACAGATGCTCTTAGGAACACATTCCATATTCTTATTCTTGCATCATGAATATGAATATAGTACAGTGGTACCTCAGTACTCAATGGGTTCTGGGAGACACAATGAGTACTACAAACAACAAGTACCAAACAAACCACGTGACTAATGCATGACCCTTTGTTTCCTCTGGAAAGCATTGCAAGTCATAAGGCAGCCAACACCAACAAGTTCTAGCTTGCACATGAACAATCACACAAACAATGAGTACCAAGACAAGATTTTTTTGTCAAAATGCGTTGAGTAACAAATTTGATGAGTTTCAAAGCCATCGTGTATGGAGGTACCACTGTATTTTTCTGTTGGGATTTTCTCTTAAATTAACATTAATCTGCTTGAAACATAAATGGCATCGACTTAAATGTAAAATATACTGCAGTTGATACTTTTTCCATGCTATAGAGAGATACCTTGCCAAATATTTTCTGAAAAGTCTTGTACCTAAAAGGATGAGATGATGAACAAATTAATATAGTTGATACTGTTGGCTGGTTGTCCTGGCAGTCTGTCTAGAAATTGAAAAAGTTGCAGAAGATGGGAGTATATTCAAAGGAATTTGTAGCTATTTTCATTCATGCTAACTATGAAAAAAACTGCTGTGGAGGGAAAGATCAGAGTCAAGTCAGAATCAGTGAGAGACAGAGGCTAATCAAATTCCTTTCATCCTCATTCTAAGACTTACGTATCATTTTCTGAACTCTATATGCATCTGCTCGGATTATGCTTTTCCTTCATAAGAGACTTTTTAGAATCTATATTAGACCAATTTTATATTTCTCTTCAAATACTCTCCAACCTTTCAGTTGCTGTTGCTCTTTTATTGTCTGTTTCCAGAATTCTGATAGCATCAAAACTAGAGAAATTACTTTTAGCCATCCTGCAGTACTGTCTGTTGTGCTCATTTCCAGTAAGGTCAAGTAATAATAGTAGTGATTCAGCTTTCTCTGAAAAGCTCCCATGTATAGCAAACATCAAGCTTTAAAACTCATTGTGTATTCATTTGGTTTCTTTGTTATCAAATATATCAGGGAGGCACAGGGAGGAGCAGCAATTTACAGTCATCCAGTCACAAGTGGGTGATTTATTGCAGCAATGGTCTTGCTGCTAAACATTTAAAATCCTATTAAAGACAGCAGGATTTAAGTAGTCTGCATTCACGACAAATAACATATTTAAAAATATTTATGAGATATATCTCAGACAACCGTGTGAACTTCATTTCCTAGCGCTTCTATGATTCCTAGCCCATGAAAATACATTCTGGGAATAATGGTTACCCATTATTTGAGGATGTAAGTTGTTACTTGTAAAAGTTATTTTTATTTTAGTATATGGCAAATACATGGTCTTATAGTGGTCCAAATGTTAATGTCCAGTCCACCCAGCCATTCAAGGACAGGATGGCCTAGGTTGAAAAAAATCAGGTATTGGGCGGGTGTAAGCTCTTGATGGACATTCAGACCCAATATGATGGATATTTTGTTGAGGAGCACTGAGGAGTAGAGACAAGACCTCACTTAAACTTTACAATTGTAAAATGCAACTAATGGATAAATAAAGATAGTATTACAGTAGTCCAAATTAAGGTCTTCTAGCCATTTCTAAAGGTGAAAAGCCTTAAAAAAAAATTTTTCTGCCACCTTCTTGACCGTACATATTTTACCTCCTCCCGTGGTAGAGAGAGACTTCCTTTGTGCATTGCTGTATATTAGGTAGAAAATTATATAAAGGACATGGCAGTAGGCCAGGGATTGGCAGTATCACCCTTTCCTGTAGTATTTTTAAAGAACGGGCAGGTACAGACAAGGTATAGTTCGATGTACAGAATTTGAGAAGAATCACCTTTTGTTTTATGCTTCAAGGGAAGAAAGTTGCAGAGCAGCCCCAACCGCTCTGCAACTTTCCCAAATGCTTTTGCATCTGAACGGAGTTTCTGGATGATATCATGAGAATATTCTTAGTAATTTGACATGCCTGTAAAAGGCTAGTGTGGAAGACATACTTCCCAGATACCCAGCCACCTTCTTTGTAAGCAGGAAAACTGGATCAATCAGAAGCAGGTGATCCAGAGGCTGCAAAGGCAGACAAGCACAGCAAATCCTTTAGAAACCTTTGAGCAAGGCTTAAACACGTGGCAACGTGATTTGAGATCTTTAGGGCTAGAGCAGCAGCTTTGGGCCTCGATGTCAGATTGGTTTGAGAAACACACAGCAGAGAAGACGCAATGGAGAAATAGTAATTAACCCATAAGAACTGAAATTAGGTGCTCCTTTCGTGCTTGCATTTTGAATAATCTGTATCTTGTTCCCAACAGCATGGAGGGAGGGGAACTCTTCACTCGAATCCAGGAGCGAGGAGATCAAGCTTTCACAGAAAAAGGTAGAGCATCAGAAGTTTTTACAAACACATTCTTGGAAGTTAATACAGGTAATCCTCAACTCACAACAGTTCATTTAGTGACTGTTCAAAGTGACAGTGGCACTGAAAAAAGTGACTTATGACTGTTTTTCACAGTTACAACCTTTGAAGCATCGCCATGGTCATGTGATCAGATGCTTGGGACCTGTTTCCTGCTCATGACTGTTGCTGTGTCCCAAGGTCACCTTTTGTGCAACCTCCTGGCCAGCAAGGTTAATGGGGAAGCCAGATTCACTTAACAACTAGGTTCCTAACTTACCAAGTGCAGTGATTCACTTAACAACTGTGGCAAGCAAGGTTGCAAAATGGGGCAAAACCAGAGGTGGTATTCTACCAGTTCGGTCCAGTTTTGCAGAGCCAGTAGCAGTGATGAGCAGCGGAGATCGAACCGCTTCTCTCCACCGCTCTGCGGTTGGGCCCACCCGCCCAGGCTCCCATGCTCACCTTTATCCTCTGAATTTGAAGCGCAGCTGCTTTGCGCGGAACAAGAGTGCTGCGCGGCAGCTGGTGAAATGACCGGGATCATGCAGGCTTGCAGGAGATGAGTTAGAACGCCTCTGCACCAGCGCAAATGCCTCTGCGCCTGCACAAAGTGTACGTCTGGCACACGCTTGCATGCAAAGTGTGTGCGCATGCACAAAGTGCGCCCACCAAGCCATGCCCACCAAACCGATGGTAAAAATATTTGAATCCCACCACTGGGCAAAACTCACTTAACAAATATTTCACTTAACAACAGAAATGTTAGGCTCAATTGTGGTAATAAGTTGAGGGCTACCTGTATTTAGATAAGCTCTTTATTCTTACTATTTCAAAGGAATTCTAATCAAATCAAAATTGGTAACTCTTTCAAAACTTCTGTAGAGCTTCCGATTATTTTTATTTCTTAATGCCTGAAAACTCAGAGAAATATAAATTTTATTGGAGGTCATGTGAATTGCTTTTAATGAAAAACTATCCAAGGTTAAATAACAAGGCTTTCACATCATGGATTGAAACTTCACCAAATACTGCCGTGTTTATTTCAAAATAAACATGTTTAGTCATTTAAAAAAGTGTTCAGTGCATTGCAGGTATGTAATGTTCATGATTTCATGTCGTTGCTATTACCTTTTAACCAAAGGACTGAGGAGCAGAAATGCCATTGATTAATTAATTAATAGTCATTCTCAAAGCAAAACACGAGTCTTAGGGCTAATTTTATGTTTTTTTCCCTGACATAAACAAGCTGGTTGCTAGTTATAAGCACTGTATATCTCTGAGATACAGCAAGAATGCTAATGTGACCTTTCTGTAAAATAACATTTCTAGAAGCCTCCGAAATAATGAGAGACATTGGAACAGCCATCCAACATCTTCATGGGATGAACATAGCTCATAGAGATGTCAAGGTGAGAACTTCTATAAATGTATTCTAACTATGTGAAAAAATTAACACATCTAAACAGTTGATTTGCATAGGCCTATTTCAACACTGAGAGAAACAGCTTGAATCAAACATTTAAGTCATGCTCTTGGGCAAGAATCCAAGTATCTTTTAAAAGTCAGCCCATTTAAATAAGGTTCAAAGAAGACCTAATGTCAGTTTAAAACTGACCTACAAGATTAAAATGTACTGGTATTTAAAAGTAAATTTGGCTCTAGCTACAAACCAAACAGAATTAAAAATTCAGAAGAGATTAGTACCCAAAATTATCCCGTTCATCTTTATTTGTGTTCTTTTTTTATATACAATTCCAGCCAGAAAACCTTCTTTACACATCCAAAGAGAAAGAGTCAGTGCTTAAACTCACAGATTTTGGGTTTGCTAAAGAGACAACCATACAGAATGCACTGCAGACTCCTTGTTACACTCCTTACTATGTAGGTAAGTTTGGCTTTTCCCTATCTTCTGATTTATTCATTCTGGAAATCAAGAAATTATTACACTTTCATAAATGCAGTCAAGCAGTCAGAGATCAAATCCAAAGGCACCAATCCAAGATTAGAGGGGAAACAACCCTGTGCATAGTCACAACAGGCTAGGAGTTAATTTCCATTGTAAGTTTTGGACTTCAGCAAGCAATGTAGTGTGAAAGTTAGTGTTTTATGGGACTTGTAGGCAAAAAAGACTCCTGTAAAAACTGACAAATTATGCTGGAAGGATGATATAAGCTGATGCAAGCAAATAAAAAATTGCTCACTGTTCTAGATTTACTATGGATAATCACTTTCACATTGCTGGCGGCACTGGAAATAAAACTTGGGATGTCTGTTTCTGACACACACACACATTCATGTGCACTAGTTTACATAAGTAAACTATATAAAGTATTTGTTACTGATGATTAAAATACCTATGTTCAATTATATAACAACTGCTTATTTAATAAGGAAAAAATAAATGTTAGTTAGCATATAACCAACATCTGAAAAACTAATGTTCACAATTCTTTTGTTCTCTTCTTCAGCCCCTGAAGTACTTGGTCCTGAGAAATATGACAAATCTTGTGATATGTGGTCTCTTGGTGTTATCATGTATATTCTGTAAGTGTAAAATGTACATAAGAAAACAAAATTTTGATACGTCACACATTAGCTCCTTGTTACCGTAATGCCATTAGTAAATCAAAAAAATTAGTCACTGGATCATTACTCATTCTGTCAGAAGAATCAGCAGCCATCTGTGACTCTACATGGGACCAGGGAGGGAATATATAGTAAGTTTCTAGTTACCAGAATCTCATCTATATAAGTCCTTCTTTTTCAGTTTGTGTGGGTTCCCTCCATTCTATTCCAATACTGGCCAAGCCATTTCCCCAGGAATGAAAAGAAGAATTCGGATGGGGCAATATGGATTTCCAAATCCTGAATGGTCAGAGGTATCTGACGAAGGTAAACAAGTGCTGTGTACGTTTCCAATAAAACTGCATCACTGATGGGTTTTTAAAATTTCTACTTTTAGTTGGGTAGCATAGAGAGCTTCAAGATGCAAGACTGTCTGGTGGTTAAAGCATCAGGCTAAAAAGCCAGAGACTGTGAGTTCTAGTCCCACCTTAGCCATGAAAGCCAGCTGGGTAACCTTGGGCCAGTCACTCACTCTCAGCCCAACTCCCTTCTCGGGGTTCTTGTTGTGGGGAAAATAGGAAACAAATGTATGTTGGATATGCTTGCCACTTAGAGTTATTTGTAAACATAATGGAGGAGGGATAGAAACAAATAAATAAAATTGGGCAAATGTCATGAATGCACATGCCAACTCATAAGCATTGTAAAAAGAATGGTCAGAAACAAAAAAAAATAGACAAATTGAATTAAATGCCATTTCTTCAAATATTTTAATACAGAGAGAAATTTAGATGTACTGGGCCAGTAGAAAATAAGCAAAAATGTATTCCAGGTAATTTCTCTCCTCCCTGTAGAATTAAAATATTGCAACAGTTAGGGTATTGATCTAAGACTGAGGAGAACTGGATTTGTCAAATTTATTTTATTTGTCAAATTTATACGCCCTTGTCACAAACAAATAACTCTAGGAAAGAAAGCTAAAACAATTAAATTAATAATTAGTAAAACAAATATTATGGTATTAAAAAGACTTAGAAACTATCTCATTGTAACATGTTGTACTCTGACAATAAAGATAATAATAATAAGCCATGAAGATTTGCTGGGTAATTTGGTACCAGTAAAATACCTTTTGTGGCTGCTAACTCTAGAGAGGAAATCACAATGTATGGTCTTATGCTTCTGGGTAAAAGGCAGGATACAAATGGGAAAAGATAAATAGTTCTTAAATATATGAATATGACATATTCATTCTCACTGAACAGAAGAGGAAAAGTGACTAGGATGCATGCATATTTTACAATATTTTTCTTATATACTTTTACAAGCCCTTATTGCCTACGTTATGTTTCCATGTGTATTTTTTTTCTAGCCAAGCAGCTCATTCGTCTATTGCTGAAAACTGACCCAACAGAGAGAATGACCATTTCTCAATTTATGAATCACCCCTGGATTAATGTGAGTCCTGCACAATGGTCTGCCTGTGTCTTGATGTGGGTACTAGGCAACCTGCTGAGAAGATTTAGCATATTACTAATTGAACGAAGGCTCTATCTGTAAAAACGAATATAATTTCTCCCTCACAGTATGAGGGCAGACTTGGAGGGTAGAGGGGGAAAAACTCTCTGTGAGTGGCAGTCAAGGACATTACACCCCCAACCCAACTGCTCTCAGCTAGATTTAGCTTTCGTTGCAGTGCACACATTCTCTTTCTCTTATTTATAAAAAGCTACATTACCTCATCAACGTAGGACTTATTATTAGACCTCCGAGGCACCATCGTGCTACACAGTGTTGATATGAATAGAGACCTCCTGCTTTGGGGGCGTTCTCAGTTTTTGGCAGAAGACTGGGAAAACTCAAGACAGGGAAGGGGGAGGCTTAAGCACGGCTCTCTCAGAAAATTACATCAGAGCTGTTTCTGATGTAGATGCCAACTAACTAAAAGGCTCTGGGAGTGTTAAAGTAGACTCCCCTCTGGAGTGGAAAAGTGCTGCTGAAGCTATGAGTTTCCCATCTGCATACTGCCAGGCAAAAGATACCAACATTTTCTGGAGTGGATTCTGACATCTATCAATGCATTTAAAATAGCTGTTTTAAAAATGTATTTATACCCTTGCCAAGAAAAATAAATCTAAAGAGATTAAATGCCTTGTGAACACAAAGTCCAAGAGAGCAATTTGAATACTCCATAGAGCAAATGGTTAAATAGGGAGTTGTCATTTCTCTCAGCCCAAAGGGAACCTAGGCTGAAAAGGGATCTCAGTTTCAACAAGAAAGGCTCAAAGTTAAGCAGACAAATGAGTTGAGCATGTCTGTGAGGAGAAAGTCCTGCTTTCTATCCAGTCACCAAAGTTGAAATCGATGTATCAAGATTTAAATTTCTAATATAAACAATTCTGGAGAGACTTGGAATCTGTCTCTCTATTACAGAAACTCTGTTCTAGCATTTGCTATTCCTCTGAGCCAGAAACCTAGATTGAATTACATTTAGAAACACAAACATAGGTCATAGTGTAGAACGGATTAATTTGGACATAGGGATGTCAGTTGATCAAGAACAAGAATAAGCTTAGCCTTTGATTCAAGGGTTGTGTCAACCTCATTGTGGGCTTTAAGCTGAATTTACAAACTAAAATGTAAGTGTAGCTGTGATAAGAGCTTTTGTTTTTACAACTTATCTTCCCGACAATCTGTTCCAGTTCTTATTCAGCTATGTGGCCTATAAATAAAAATATTTTAAAAGGAGAATGGGACCTTGATGTTAAAGAGCTGCAGAATTTCATGCCGCAATAGATGGCAAAACTAAATTACTTTATGAAGAATATGGTTTTGAGCCTTATTATGAAGTTTGAGATTTACTTTGGGGGAAAGGGTCTGTCTGGAAGCTGAGTAGCAGAAGGGGAAATGTTGTGCTTTTCCCTGCTGCTGCAAGCTTTATCCTCCTTTGACAAGTGTTTGCTGAGGGAAGCGGGAAGAGCTCAAATGTGATTTTCTCCTCTAGTTTTTAGAAAATTAATTGCCACACTCTTATGGAAGTTATGCAATTTTGTGATTATGAAAAATGTGGCTGCCTCCCAAAATGCAGCCGCCTACACTCTTTCTCACATAGCTTAGGAGACAAGTTTCTACATTTTGAACACAACTTCTTTTTTTAAGAGCAGTTAATGGTTAGTGTGTCAGCAGTCTGTCACAAGAAATCATCTCTATTGATTGCCTCTCTTAGCAGTCCATGGTGGTGCCACCAACCCCTCTTCACACTACTCGAGTCCTGCAAGAAGATAAAGATCACTGGGACGAAGTGAAGGTAATCTTTGTGCATGTGCAGAGTTGGGTGGAGATCTTCCTTTTTATGGATAGTTGGAAAACAATGTTCTCTCTAATTACTTATAACCCCAAGTAGTGTGAAATAGCACAATGGTTGCTAAAACATCTGCAGATAATGGACTGGGAGAATTACTAAAGTTAGGCATAGAGAGACAAGCAAGGTTTTAGTAGCAGAGTAGGTGTTTAATTTTTTTAATAGATTTTAGCAAAAAAGGTCTGCAGTGGCTGAAGCCAGGATTTTTACTTTAATCTTTCTTTAGTATGCTTTTTGGCGTAGGCGGTTTGGAGGGTTTTTTTTTAAATAAACGTGCTAGATCTGTCCAAATACTTATACTATTTTTTTAAAAAAAATCTTATTTTCTTTGAAAAATAATGGAAAATTGTGCCTTTGATATTTCTCCAAAAGTTGTGGGGGCTACAGTGAAAGTATATATAATGTGCTTTGTAAGGTGTCCATCCTTATTCAGGCAGATCTAGCAAGAATAGGCAGCTTGGGCTTTCAGATGGTTTGGACTTTGAATACCCACTTCACTTTTCCACTAGTGAAGTGCCACTAGTGCCACTAGTTTTCTTAGAAGTTTTCCTAATGCCAGGTTGCCTTTGACATAGGAAAACATTAAATTCCAGATACACAGGGACAGCGTTAAAGATATACTCCTTCACCGAATGTTCCTTACAGGTTTAATTTGATTCTCAGGGTCTTTTTGTCATTGATGTGTAATATTTAATCCTGCATTATGAATTGCTTTTTTCATTACAGTCTACTACATCTGGTATATAACTTTCGCAGGGGGAACTCTATAGTTGTTACTTTTGGCTGAGATCCTTCCTTCTGTAGACATAACAGGAGACAGACTTTTTTTCCCCCTTTAAATTTTGCTGTTACTTTTTATGTATTTTAGGAGGAAATGACTAGTGCTTTGGCAACCATGAGAGTAGACTATGATCAAGTAAAAATTAAAGATTTGAAAATATCCAACAATCGACTCCTCAACAAACGGCGTAAGAAACAAAAGCAAGGAGGCACCTCAACTGCATCAGCTGGCTGTAACAACCAATAAAGGCGAGAGAAATAAAATGAAATAATTAGTTGAACTAAAATCATCACACAAAGGATACATAACTGAAACACAAATGTGGATGATAAGAACCTTTTATTTCAACACACTGGGCCTTTTTCTACAACGAATTTTGTTAATCATTATATTATATTTTAGTATACTTTATCTAAGGAGCTGCAAGAAACCTTAGAATATCAGTGAAGTTTGGATAAATAAATATTTCTTGTGGTAATGCGGGTTCAGTGCTTACAAAAGCACAGTCACAACAAGCAATTCTAAATCCCTTTTTTCATATAAAGCAATTAGAGCATCCATTTCCTTAACTCTCAGATGATGTAAGGACATAAATGTGATTAATTTAGACTGGATTATGCTGAATCCATTCAAGAGAAATAGATTAAACCATGCATAAAGTAAAGGAGTAAAAAAAAATCAGATTATTTACAAGAAGCAATCAGAAAGTTATGAAAAAGTAAGTTTTTCATATATTTTTGTTGATTTTCATTGTTCATTTCTATTGTATTTAATGTTCTTATCACGTTAATGCTCTTATTTTATACACTGTCCATCTGTATAAGGAAGTATTGCTTTTTAGTCTTTGGGAAATATTTACAATTTAAGGCTTAAGGGATTATTACAAGCTTGCTTCCATTCTTCCATTCAGATCATGGAGGTAAGAACAGTGTAGTTAGTCATATGTGAAGTGGGCACACCTTTTTAAAAAAAATCACAGGAAACTTCCGCTGGCTGTCTTGTGGGATCCACAAACAGGTATGGGTGCAATTGCTACATTTTACTATTTAGATGTTCCATTTCCTTGTTTACATATAGGCCATAATTTATTTTTATCACAGATTTTTTTTTCAAATTGTTTACTTTTTAAATTAAGTATCAAAGATTAATGTATAGCAGTAATCAACCAAAATATCATTGTTTATGTCAGCATCCACAACTTTGCATGAAGATTTTAGCCGAAATATTACCCAGTTCAGAAGGAAATGATTCCCAGATGCATTATGAATTTTACTAAAAGAACCATGATATAGCTATCAGGTTGAAGATAGAGGGAACATTTTTTACATTCTTTTCCAGCAATACAGAGCTTCAAATGGTCTGAGGTTGACATGGTAGCAACATCAGAGAGGACAGGGGTAGAATTATTGCCACCCCTTTCCTTCTTGTGATGTTATTTTTAAAAAAAACATATTAAACCAATTGGCTCTACTTCACATATTTTATTTATATTCCTTTTATTTATCTATTAGTGAATTTCCATGAGAAATCTTGGGAAACTACTAGCAGAAAATAAATAGTTACAACTACAGTTTCCCTGAGATAGCGTATTAGTTTGACTATTCTGTGAACTGGGTGATATAGCACTTTCATGTACTGTCCACATGTAAAAAGTTTAAAACATGGGCACATGCCATGAGTGCTTCTAAATTCAAAGAGGAAATTTGTAAATTTCACACACACACACACACACACACACACACACACACACACACACACACACTACTACAGTTGTTTTGACATATCATATATTAATTTCTTAATACCCTGTAGATTAAGGTGGATGGGATAACACAAAAATGAAGTCACTCAAGTAATTCTTGTGGATATTTTTTTGGGAGAGTTTAGATATTTCAATATGGCGATATATGCACCAAGAAAAGCAACTGTGCCAAACACTGAAGGTCTCAAAGTGGAGTGGATTTTCACACAATATCTCATAATAAGCTTGTCCTGTGAAACCTGCATTACATATCAATCATCTTTATTCAAATCATTTCATTGTCCAAACATTTTCTTTGAAAGGGGATATTCCTATCACAATTTTCCACACATGCAAGTGCCCCTGGCCCTGTAGGAAGAAGGTGATCCAGCCCCCCTTCTCAGCTTTCAATTGTGCTACAGTTTTTGAGATGCTAACAAACAGCAGGTGCTTGTTTATGTTACTTCTCATTTCTAACACTTGCTGCAGGAAAGAGAGATTCTTTGACGGCCGCAGGGTTTGTCAGAGGGCTCAAGGGGGAAATGAAGTCTTCTCCTAACAGTACTTGTAAAATGGTGAGATGATAAATAATTGCAGATGAATTGTTTTCTTCTCTACATTCTCCAAACTAAGTCTGCTGCACAAGCCAAGAGACCAGAGATGGAGGAAGAAAATTTGTGGCTGTTAAACCAAAAAATATTGGTGACTTTGTATTATAGCCTTATTCTAGAATTAGGATTAATCTGCAATGAAGTAAATTTCTATTCATTACATAGGTGCCTCTCTTTGATTTGCAAGCATATTAAATTGATGTTAAAAGCACTTCAGATTGTTTGTGAAATTCTAACATTTTGCAGATATTAATAAAATGGTGCTTTTCCCATTTTTTTCTTAAATGGATCTCACTCTTAATCAATCTTCCTTTGTGATATTTTACTTTCAGTTCTAGGATTACAGACTTCTCTCCTTTTCAAGGAATGTGAAGCGAACTTAATTTGAAGGCATCATTTTTTTTTGTCCACACGTTATTTGTTTTAATATTCAATTTAACTAAATTTAGAGCAACTGTAAGTTAGCAATAGTCACTAGATGGCAGCACTTAGCCAACCTTGGCTGCTCTTTAAAAAAACATGGTTGGATCTGGTTTAAGTACTTGAATCACCAGGGCTAGAGGGTAGATTTGGAAATTGAAAAAAAAAAAGCCTATCAGAAGAAGGCAGTGGCAAACATTTCTGAAATGATGGCAAAAAACATCATGGACGTCTTTCTGTAGCCATCAGAAGTCAAGCATGACTTGAGGATATTTTAGCATATGGGACTAAATCAAAGCAAAAAGGCTTTCTTTAAAAAAAAGAGCAAAAAAAACCACAACCTACTTACTCTTAAGGTTATTCAGACTCCACAATTACTCAATATTTACAAAAGTGCCATCATTCATTGTCAGATGGCATGTTTCGCATTTCCTGTATTTCTAAGAGAGGTAATGCCAGACAACTTTGAGATCAGCTATTACTCACTGGTGAACTAGAGAGAGTACATAAGATCTGACTTCTGTGCAGTACTTTGGATGCAATCTCCAAAAAAAAAGGTGCTTTGCAGCATGCAGATGGCTCTATGCATAGCACCTTAAAACAACTGCTTTTCTTGAGATTGGAGGACAGATGCAGGATCCTGGGAAAATATGCAGTTTTAAGATGTTGCAAACAGGCAACTTAGTTACATGAGGTGGCTCTCCAAAGCTGTTGCCCATGGAATTATTTGCTGAATCAGTCTTGCTTCCAAGTGGAATTATTGATCCTTTTGGGATTTCTGTCTAATCTTATTGCTGTTTTTGGCCAATTAAAGAAAACTATATAATTTTAGACAATCTCCCCTTTGCTTGCTTTTTCTTTCATTTAAGTGTCAGATTGAATCTTGATGTGCAACAATGCAGTCCTAAGTGAAGTTACATTTAATTACATCTGACATTTTGAATAACAGGAGCACAAGGAAAGTGTATGATAATGAGGAAAGTGTTATAAATCTCACAATTGCAAGAGAAAAGTATGTGAATAAACTCACCAAACCTTTGCAAGGCCTCAAGGAAGAGGCTTTCTCTTAATTCCTTATTGGGGATAATATACGATACAAAATCCAATGGTGTGGCCCTAGGAAGAGCGCAGAGAAGACCAACAAAGATGATAAGAGATCTGGAAAGTAATTCATACAATAAATAGTTAAAGGAACTAGGCATGTCTAGCCTAACGAATTAGGCATGACATGATAACTCTTCCAGTACCTGAAGGGAAATCAGAGATGAGGAAGTTGATGTATTCTCCAAAGCATCTGAAGGACAAGCAACAGGTGGAAGCTCAATAAAGAGAGATCCAACTTGGAACTAAGGAAGCATTTCCTGACAGAACAATTAATTAGAACAGATTGCCTCCAGGAATTGTGGGTGCCCATCGTAGGAGGTTTTCAAGAAAAGATTGCACAACCATTTATATCTGGGATGGAATAAGGACTCCTGTCTTGGCCAGGGGGGTGGACTAAAAGATCTCCAAGGTCCGTTCCAACCCCGCGATTTTATGATGCTATGAATGTGCGGGAAATTCCCTGTGAACACAACAAATATTATAAGACAAAGAATAGGAAAACCAGTTGGTACTATTCTTTGTTTCAATTCTAAACCTTATAACTATCAGAAAATACTGCATTGGCCAAGAATGGCAAAAAATGTAATAGGTACTCCCACTACCAAGTAGTGAAGATTTCTTAGCAATACACAAACAACTCATCAGGCAACCATTATTTTCTGAGAGAGGATATAACCTCAGAAGAAATTAAAGTAAGTATAAAATAAGTAATTCATTAATACGTGCTTATGAAATGGGCCAGGTTTTCTTTCATTTTGCTTCTGGAAAGATAGATGGCCATGAGATTATTTGTTCTCCAACTTTTAAGTTTCTCCAAAAGGTGCCATATCTATTCTGCCTTTCTTCAAGTATACATGATGCTTTTGCTATTGATTAGTAACACTTCCTTCTGAAACACATTTTCTTTTACTGTATGTGAACCCCCTTCTATGTTCTGGATATATGTTGAGTACTTTTCTGTTTAGGCTAAGAAGCAAGATAGCACTGAGTTGAATTTAACTCCTGGCAACTGGATGAACAAATGCTTGCCAGTTTTACTGTAAAATTACAGCTTTCTGAGAAGATTCTAGTTTTTTTTAATCTCAGCCCCTCACCCCCATTGTCTTCCTCTTTTGTAGCCTTCTAGCCAGTGGTGCAATTCAACCGGTGTAACAACCGGTTCGGTGAGCGCCCGCTCCGCATTTTAAAAGCCTATTTTCAGTTCTAATACTTACCTTCTACTGCAGCCCCTGTGAATAAAACAGCTGAGGCACGGCAAACTGCTCTGCCACGCAAATCAGCTGTGCTCTTAAAAAACGAAATAAAGCATAGGAAAGAGGAGAGGTGGGTGGGCGGGGCCAAATGCTCACTGGAACTACCAGTTCAACCAAAATAGTCTGAAATGGTAGAATCCCATCCCTGCTTCTAGCGTAATTCTTTCTAGTCCACCATGCATTCATATCAGATGCCAAAAGTATATGCTTGTTCATATTATTGTTCCAGTGGAACAGTTAGTCTTTATTTGGACCATGACTAAGTGGCTGATCAAGTTCAGCGGGTAATTTATTTGTGCCTGGTCCCTTTCTATTTGATAGATGACATATGGTTTGCTCTTTATTTTCTACAATAATCACTCTTTGAATATATAATTTTTCTGCAAATGTTTTGCATTCTATAATCCTGTCTGTAAAGGGATTCAATAGTCTATCTTCTATTAATCTTATTGGCCTCAATTAGATTCATTCTGTGACTATTAATATTCTTACCTTACCTATACATTTTCTGTGATTTCTGTGATGTTCTTGAAAACATCTCTTATTTTCCTTTTTATTGTTGTTTATTCTTCATTATATATCTTTCCCTGTTCTTTTTGCTTGATATTGCTTTATGTCCCTGCTGTCCAAGCCTTTCATCCTTTCCTGATTATGATAGCTTATTCTGAAAGCTACTTATATACATATAAGCCCATCTCAATATTTCATCACACATGAACGCATCACAATATTCCTTTCCAAAATAAGTAATGTTATAAATGCAGAAAAAGCAATAAAAATAAAATAAAATAAAAGGAAATAAAACTCTAAGCTGCCTTGAGTTGCCATGTGCGAATAAGTAGCAATATGAATTCCCTAAATAATAAAAATAAATAAAACGAAAGGAAATTTAACCAAGTCTATAGCATGATCATTTGCTATACCTCTCTAGACCATTCTGTCCTTGGAGATCATTCTTGCTTTCACCAGATCCGTACATTGATTCATACACTGCATTTTATTAAGCTCATCTTTCTGAGAATCTCATGTAGTCTATTGAATGCTGCAACTGAAGATGACATGGGAATGGAGTTTTTTTTTAAACAAAACAAAACAGAAAGATCTTCAATGTCTGAATGAAATTAATTTGAATATGGATTTCAAAATGACCGAATATAAGAGTGATATGGAATATAATAATAAAATATAATAATTAAAATATACAAAAACAAACTGGAAGAATGACTTGGATAATTTTTCTGTATTGATTTACAAAAGAGACTTGTTAATTTTGAAAGATTTTGTGAGAAAGGACAAAAAAGAAAAACAAAG